CAGCATTTGATATGTTGATACCTTAGCCTTGAAATAGATGTGAAGGTACCACAGCCTTTACAAGCTGTTATCGAAAGACATACTTTAAAAGCTCCCACGGAAGACTGAATGCAATAGAAGTAGCTGAGTGGGATGAAAGTAACTGAACCAACTTAGTTAAAGTCATTGTTCATGTCTGCGTTCCATTTTAGTGATTACCCTCCAGCTAGACAATGAATCATATTAAAGGAAGCTTTGGTACTTACTGTTTGCCTGATAAAAAAATTCCAGATAACTTTAGAAGCAATGATGAGTCTTACTTCAAATTACTGAATTCAACTATCAGAAGAAAATTTTGGAGAGCAATTCCATTTATCACAGATTAAAAAATAGATTGTACTATTCTTACAATCCAAATATTTTCAGTTGAGATGATGTATGAACATTTACTGCAAAAAAATTGCTACAAAAGATACATGTGGAATGGTATCTCTGGGGTCAAGGAGGTTATGACAATAAATGGCAAACACTGCATTACAGAACTGTAAAATGAAATATTAAGTGTATACTATATTAGAGAGATAACAGGGATGCAACAGACAAATACAACAGTAAAACCAACTGGAAGAAAAAAGAAATCTCAATTGTGAATAAAAAAATAATTCCACATATAGTCCTCTAAAATATGCCACTGTCAACTGATTTATCAAAGTCTTGCAAGGGAATATACATTGCAGAGTCTAAAATTAGAAAATATGTACATGTGTTGTCCACAATGCCTAAGATAAACAGATGAATGAACACAGAAATATGGTCAATAAATTCTGTTTGACTTTTACCCAAAGAGATTATGAAAATACATTACAATTAATTAAATAAATCAATAAAATAGAATGCTTATGGGTTTGTTTATCTGTGGATTGCTTAAAAGGTATAGGAATTGATGGCTTCCTGTTGTGTTTTTTTTTTCATTAACTGACCCCACCTATACATGCATTCATCTACCATGTTGATGCCTACAACTTGCACATCTGCCTCTTCTTTCCTATCTCCTTGCAGCCAGATTAAAATCCCAATCTGTTTCTTACACCTCTCTGAGGATGGTTAAAATGAGGTCAACCTCAGCTCTCCCAACTTTTCTCCTCCATCAATATAGAAAAAATAATAATTTTGTCTGTCACTCAACTCATAACTCTTCATTTTCAACTCTAATTTCTCTCCAGGCCCTCACATTCAACCATACAAAACCAAAAAGATTTTTACATATTTCCAGGATTTTTTCTGTATATTCATGTTCACAACTAAAAATTTTGTCCAAGGTCTCATCACCTTGGTTACTGCAACTTTTTTCCCAGCTCTAATCTCATTCATGTCCCATCCATCCAGAAGGCCATCTCAGTCGGCATTTTCAGCAGTTAGTCTGACGATTTGAATGCATTAATGCATTCTTATTTGGTTCCTCTTTGTATCTGGGCTTTTCATCATACTGCACTCATATTTGAGCTAAACTCCTTAAAAACAGCTCCAAACCTCATTTTCCTTCCTCCTGGATTTTTCTTAAAATGTGTCTGCTCTGATTTCTCCTGAGAGACAGGGCAGTTAGGTTACGGCCAAGCACATAAATCAATACGATCCAACTCCTTCTTACACTTCCTGCCCGTGGCCATTTTTTTATATTCATATTGTAAGGCTCTAAGGGCAAAGAATACTGCCTCCTTTCAGCTGTACATAAGCTCCAAACACATCTCTGCTTTGCTCACTGAACTAAATGCATGTAGCATATACACTTCCTTCTCAAGATGTTATGCAAATCCTGCCTTGTTTTACAGGACCTTGTGACTGCTACCATAATTGTAAACAGAGGAGTACAGTGTGTGGGTATCCAAGATTTGAAATAAGCTCCATTTAAATTATGCTTGAAGCCACACCAGGAAGACTGCAACCTGAATGTAGCAGACACAAGACATAACCCCATTGAATTCTTCCCAGTGGCCTAAGCCAATGTATTTTCAACAAATGTATGGGGTTTATTTCCAGTGAGTGTTGCTGTTCCAATATGCCTTATATACACTTCCTTCAGGTTGTCTGTGATGTACATTGATTTTCCACCACAGAGTGAATATGATTTTCAAAAGAGTCATCCATACCTACCCTGGTCTAATAAAACCATTCTAGCTGCCATTCTAGGGTTTAGTATGCATGATGCCAATAGCTCTAGTAAAACCACGTCAACAGCAACTATGGTTTAGTGCATATGTTGCAGGTAGGCTTTAAGTCATGGTATGGACAACTCCTGGCTGTCCACACTGGAGAGTGGCTGAGCCACGCACAAAGTTTACTTCTCTGTGGTGCAGCAGTAGGTCAGTCAAGGTAGTTACATATTGCACTTTATCACCACCTTGCAGCAGACCACAGAAAACCACCAACATCCTGGAAGGTACAGACTGCCAGAACAAATGGCTGAGCTCAGGTAGCTGACATATGGAAAAGGGCAGATGGGAAGAAAAACAAAATCAAAAACAGAAAAGAAAAAAAGTTTAAAAATCTAAGGATAGTGGAAGGGAACAGCTTATTTAACTCATTTAGCATTTTACACTGATGCCTCAGTTACTGGACGTCACTGGTCTGTCTAAAAATAGCTGCAAATGAAAGGTGGGACCCCTGAAGTGGGATGACAGCCTTATCAGTAGGCTAATGTTTCACCAGTCCCATATCTACAGTAATTCTACAGAGCTAGATGACACCAAGGTGGATGGTGTGCAACATTCCCACATATAAAGACACTCCTGGATTGAAGGTTTCAGTATGAGAACAGATTACTGGAGATATCAGTTACTCAGTGACTGTGAAAACATGGGTAGGTTATCGATATGAATAAAGTGAGGATTTGCATACCCTGAGGATGACCACTGAGCAGTCATTCTGAATCCTGTCTGTCCTGCTCCTTATGTTTCACCAAAGTTATCATATTCAGTCTGAAGATGTTGCAAAAAAACATCCTTTCATGAGTGCAATTCCAGGGAGAAGGCACTTTCAGGCACAGCAAGAGTCTGAACAACCCTGATACGTGAAATCTGTGCAACTGGATTGACCTTATACATAGAGGGTACAGGGAGCAGTGGCATTTGTATCCAAGCCCACTTCACACACAGTTTTATGTCTAGGCAGCCTCCACGTTACTCAGCACAAGAAGCAGGCAGAAATCTACCAAATGTTTAAATGCCCAAGTAACCACAGCACACTGCAACCATGTGCCTAGTTAATCAGATTAATCAAAGTTTCTTGTCCAGTAATAATATATCACAGAGCTATACAAAGAGAAAACTGCAATGGCTCAAAGAAAAGCAGCTAGCTCCTTTTCATTTAATTGGAAGACTTTAACTCCTTTGCCACTCTAAGAAAAGGTCTTATATTGACTAGATATCTGTAAATCGACTTCCTTATCTAAAGGAAATGAAACATTGTCCAATACACCAACACAGTAAAACACCTTCTGATGCTGCCATCACAGGTAAGCTACTACTAGGTAAGACCTTTGGGGAGAGGGTCGTGGAGTGCAGTTTCAGAAACTTATACAGAGCGCTTCAAGTGAGGCAGCTCTTCTAGTTGAAAGTTGAGGCCACTGGAAGCTTACAACGTTAGCGCGATTCATGAAAAAGAGTATCCCACAAATTACTCTCCCTCCTGCTGCAGTTTTAGAGAATAATCACTAGATGGAGCTGCACAGTCACAAATCTGATTTATGGCAGCGGTCCCCTGCAGTTCTGATACATTCCACCGCTTCCTGTTAACTCATCCTCTGAAAGATGGGGTGAAATGCTTTCATTCACAAAAGCAAAATGCAGACAAGATAAAATTATTAGATACTGAACGGGGGAATGGGGGGGGGGGGGGGGGTAGGGGAAGAGGGGGGGAATCCCCGAAAAAAACCCCAATACACCAACAGCATCCCCAGCTTTCAAAATCAAATAAATTCTTACAATGAACTGAAAGACACTATCTGCCAAGACATATCAGATGTCTTGCTTTGTTCTGCAAGTCAGAAAGCACAGGAGACTCCTTAGTGCTTGACATGATTAGCTGCTGCTGTAAAAGAAAAACAAGAGCTTGGAGCTCAGGCCTTTTTAAATGATACACTTAATCCTGCACTTCAGATGTACTTAAAAAAATATGTATTTTTTTCTGCTAACTGCATTGATACTAAGCAGTTTCTCTAGCATAGTTGAAAAGTTATCCTAACCTACCAGAACATGATTCATCTGGCTTTCTATTGATTATGTGGCAAAAGGGAAGCCTTACCTGCTTTCATCCTACATCTGTTGAGGCCAAGTTACCACTCACTCCATGCCTGCATATGCCTGGTCTGTGTGGAACACTGCTAATTTCATCTCTTGTAGAGTCATAAAATGATAGATTTTCACATCTTGCTAAGGTTTTGCAAAATCTATATATTGCCAACACTTCACAAAAGAAAAGCAAAACCCTGACCCCTCTTCAAGAGGCACAGTTCTGTGGGACTGAGGTCCCACAGTCTTACAGGCTTTTTGAGACGGAATCTGCTGCACCTCCACTGCAGAAAAAAAATCTGTGCTAAGAGGAAGAGACAGCACGTTTCCTGGGCTAGGTAGAGGACCAAGCCTCCCACGAGGACACCGCCAGCTCACACAACACTTGGGCGTGCTTTAAAACCAGGACTGCAGCGAAGCCGTGCCAGAGCCAGTCCCCGAGGAGGTGGCGGCACAAACTCCAGCTGCTGCCTTTACCGCTTCACACACCGCTACAGAGCCAGCCGCCCCGCAGGGCAGGACAGCCCGGCCCGCCGGCCCAGCACGGCGCCCGCGCACGGCCGGGCGCGCCCCCGGGGGGGGGGGGGGGGGGGGTCAGGGGTGACAGGCCCGGGCTGGCGCGGGTTTAATGAGCTGATTAGCGCTAATTACGGCGCTAATTACCGGGTAAGCAGCGCACACCCCTATCTCATGGGGGATCAGGGGGCTGCGTCCTCCTCTTATCCCCACCGCGAAATGGAGGGGGACAGGGGCGCCCGGGCAGGTCCCCCCGGGAGCAGGCGGGGTCCCCCAGCTGCGGACGGTCCTAAAAGGGGCATCGCCCCCGCGCCCCTCCGAGCGGGGCTGCCCAGCAGGCCGGGATTTCGCCGAGCTGCGGCTGTAAAGACACTGATGCTCTTACAGCCCAAGCCCTGTAATCCAGGCACTGCAGCGCGGGGCCGCAGACAAGGTCCCGGCCACGGCGAGGACACCTTCCCAGCCCGGCCCCTTCCCGCACTTATATGGCCAGCCGGAAAACGCTGCCGTGTCTCCTGGTGTCACAGTTTCTCTTCTGGAAACAGTTTCGCTTCCATACCCCGGGGTCAGAGGAAGAGCGAGCCCACGGTCAGGCAGGGGAAGGGGGTCTGCTGTTGGGCTTGTAGCACAGCCACTTGCCTACTTATGCTTTGACTTCAGGCAGGTTGCTGAAATAATCTACACCTCAGTCTGATCAGCTGTAAAATAGAGCCATTAACAGAAAATAAATTAAAACCTCAAAACAAAGCCGTTTTTTAATAGCAAACAACTATCAGGAGATGTGGAACTGTTTTTTGTTATTTAAAATATGTGCCCCATTCAGTAAAAGAAGCATTGAGCATCATAGCTGAAATCAGTTATGCATTTCAGTAGACAAGCAATAGACATGAAACTACAGCCTTCAGCACCCACTTTTTTTTGCACACTGGCTTCATGCTAAAAAAGCCATTGAGCAATGCCAGACTTCCCCTGGCTAGAGGGCAAGTTCCTGGCTAGGAAAGTTATTAGAATACAGGGCTTGATAAATTGCATCAGCTGACAGCACTAAAGATTAAGAACCTCTGTCCATCTACAAAACAGGGTCCCCAGGTGAAGAAAATAGTGTGCCTCATTCATGTTTTTCTCCTCACACGTGCCATTTGAGTTTTGGTGTGGTTACTTGTCCTATAAGAATACAACAGCCTATAACCTCCACATAGGCCACTGAACTTGGAAGTGCTGGGTTAATGGCTGGACTTGATGATCTTGAAGTTCTTTTTGAACCAAAACAATTCTATGATGCTATTCTATGAACAACATAGTACCCAAGCCTTTCCCTTTCAGCCTTTTCAGATTTGAGGCTGGACATCTTGGAGGTTAAAAAGAAGAGGAAAAAATTACAGACCACTGAGCAGTCCAGCTATATTGCATTTTCCTTTTTCACTGGATTTTCAGAGCAAAGAACTCTTTAACCTTTAGTGAAATTCAAGTGTTTGCTTCATCTAAGCAGGCAATAACTGAAAAAAAGATAAAACTTCCTATTATTCTGTATTTGTTTTTTAAGGTAAAAGATACCCTTCCTTAGTTTTTGGGACACCCAAATCATCCAAGAGCATTATTGGGAAAAACAGTCCTCTCTGGCAATACATACTGGATCACTCTTTGCGGGAACACCCAATTCTAAAGAAGCTGAGACTGGTCAGTATTTTACCCCTCAATACAGAATTTCTGTTCAGTCTTCCGCTAGGCCCTTTTAGTATTGTCCATGTCTTGTCCTGAACTGTTGGACACTCTGTGACATTCCTTCCTCCATCTTATTCACACATTCCTGGATTTATAGGTGGTAGTACACAAAAGTACCAGATCATTAAGGAAGGACTCAGTTGCACAGCTGTCTGTTCCTTACGGAGATACCTAATAGCCTGGGCCCTTAAGGTTTCTCTGCTAGAACCTTGAGGAGGAAACCAAAATACTACTTGCTGGTGAAGACCATTATTTGATGTACACGGAAAGATGGCTCAAATCTTTTCCTTTTCCTGCTCCTTGTGCTTTTTGGCATTTCTAGTCCTTAGAGACTACTCTGTATACATATTTATACTTGGTGGTGATATCTGGTCCAGAAGAAATCCTGGGCAAATCCACTACCCTTGGGTACACTTTTTACATAAGAGAAGCAATGCAAAGTTGTCCAGAATTTGTTTTAAACTGATAGTACCTACTTTCCAATGTTAATGGCTCCCCAAATAAGATTTTAAGAGTACCAGCATATGTTTTAGACACATCTGTTTATCCATGGCTCCCAAGCCCATGTGTTCGGGCTGTTCTTGATTTTAACTTGAACAGATTCGTTCTGTTCATTTTCATTGGCAGGTAAGGAACCTGTAGCTCACAGAGGTGGTGTCCTCTAGCATGCTCCTGTGTCAGAGCTCAGAACAGACCTCCTGACTCCCAGCTAGGACATTTCAAGTGACACAAGCTATTGTATTAAAGCAATTCCATGTTAAGTACTGGAGCTGCTTGGTTCAAATGAGCCCTAGAAGAAGAAAGGAAATAGGAGGACTTGCCTTTCCACTGAATTGCCATGGCATAGCCCTACTTCCCTTGCTGCCTCCCCCTCAGTCCAGGGGACCTCCCACCTTGGAGGGAGGCGCAGCACCTCCAGTTCTGTGCTGTGTAGCTGGAATGATGCCTGACCTTTGGCCATGGACTTTAACCCAGCTTTGATGATTAGTCTCTGCTTATGACACACACCCTGCTCTCCTCAGTTACTGCTACATTCAAAACAGTTTCTGGCTCATAGATGGAGCACAAAGCTATCTAAAATGAAAATTATAAGAGTGTCGTTTTTTCCTGGGGTGTCTCTGGGGTTTTTGCCTAGGATACTGTTTTGGAATATTTTGCTTGTTATGATGTGTTATTTTTTTTTGCCTTCCAAGCTCACTGCTGATCATCCCTGTGGTAAAATGATGGTGTCCTGTGACCAGGCTCAGCTTATGGCAAATTTGGTCAAACTCATTAAAGCCAAGAAAGTTATTGAAATAGGTAAGAAAGTAACTTTGTCTTCTCTGTAGTACAATAAAGCTCCTGGCTGTGTTTCTCCAAATACAGCCATATTTACACAAGATAAGGTATAGTAGGGCACCGCATTCCTGTCTCAGCAATCAGGTGGGCAAACTACAGTGTGAAAAATAGCATCTAATTTGCACTTACTTGTCACTTTGTCTATCTGCACATTCAGTAATTCTAGTATCAGCATGGATATCTCCTCAACTCAGAGGCAATCTGAAAAAATGAGATAAACAGATCGCTTGGGTCTCCAATGTCAGGCAGCTATTCCAGGCAGGATGTGTTCATTCCTTCCTGTATCAGTTTCTTGCAAGAAGGAAAGGTTTCACTGCACAGGCCTTGCATCCAATCCACTTTCCTAGATGCACCTATGTTAGCAGGATGTCCCACAGCCAAGCTAATGCTCAGCCATCAGGTCTGGGTTCCCACCTTCATCATTCTTGTCCTGGCTGTTATGATGCCCTTGTTATAATGTATTTTGCTTCTGGTCTTGTCCCTTTCGCTCAGGATTTAGCTCCCTTTTAAATAAGGGTGTTGCTCAGAGATGCAAGGCCAGACTCTGCCCTGTGTGTTCAGGATACTTTTGGAAAAAGCCCACATGAAACTTAGCTAAAAGATCAACTTAAAAAAAAATCAAAACCACACTGAAAAACAAAAACAAACAAAAACCAAAAACAAACACCCACCATTACATTACAATGGAGGGCAAAAGCTTTTGTATCCATTACCAAATTGCCATCCTTAACTCCTTTCACCTTTGAGATATTTAGTGCTGAAGGGAATACTGAAGTTCACTATCTTTCTTTTTTTTTTCCCACAATATGGTAAGTGTTAATGACTGTTATTATTTTCATAGGTGTCTTCACAGGTTATAATACCTTGAATATGGCACTTGTCCTGCCAGATAATGGCAGAGTTATTGCCTGTGATATAAATGAGGATTATGTCAAAATTGGAAAGCCACTGTGGAAAGAGGTAAGTAATGTCTCTTCTGTTATATGCATTTGCATCTCAAGAGATTTTGGTATCTTAAACTTGCACACTCATACAGAAGTATTCCTATTATTAAAGGAGGCTAAGAGTTCAATTTGGAAAGACAGCTAAGTGCCATCTGGAACCTAGAAATAATAGGAAAAATATCTGAACACTAGTAATTCCCTGAATGCAATCCACTAACAGCTTATTTCTTGACCATTTTCATAAAGTCTTTGTTCTTTTTCACTCTAGGCAGGAGTGGAGCATAAAATTGACCTGCGGATTAAACCAGCAATTCAAACACTTGGTAAGTAACCTCACTTTTTATTTTTCCCTTCCCTGGAAATACAAGATAGATATAATGCTGATGAAATTCAAGACCAAATATGCTTCTGGATACAATCCCTTTGCTAAGTGAGACAGCTTCTTTTACACTGGTGGGGGGAAAATCAGTCAGAAAACTTCATAAGTTTAGTATTCCTACAAGCTAGCAAAAAGGAAGAAAATGCTTGTCATGTGTGGTGGGCTGTACTGGTCACTCACCTTTACTAACCATAGCCTTGTTTAATCTATAAAGTACTATTGTCAGCTTCTTCTGGTAAAGCAGATTAGAACAGATTAGACAAAGTCCAATTTCTCTTATCCATTGTCCAGTTTAAGCAAGTATTTCTTTGTTATAGACAGAAGGAGGTTTCTGAAAGGGCTGAAGTGCAGAAAAAATACAGAATATAAAACTTAGGATATGACAGTTGAACTGTGGCCAGAGAACTTCAAATTTAGGATGTGTCAAAAGCATTCCAGACCATTAGAAAGGCAATGACTTTCCTCATTCAAGAAAAGAGAATATGTGGGGCAAATGGAATATTAATAAATATTATGAACATGCAATAAATTTGCTAAGAATGGAGGAGGTGGAAGAAGATTTGCAGCAAAGGTGTTTGATTAATCTGCAGATCCATCTATGCCCTTATATTACTTCCAAATGCATCCCTCTTTTATAAAGAGGCAAATACTAGCAGTCTGCTAGGTTGCACTGTCCTTGAAGTCTGATGGACATCTTTGTCTAAGCAGTACTTCAAACAAAAAGTCCTCTGTTGACAGAGGATAAGGGCAGGTGAGAAGGGTGGCCAAGACTCTTAAGGAAGGCAGCAATCAGCCCCTCTGCAACTGGTGATTTGGAGTTCCCATTTAAGAGAACTCAAATCTGAATTCCACTTGCCTTAGCCCAGAGAGTGAACACTTAGAGCAATCTTTCACTGTGAGAGGGTTTGTTCATGAGCTGTACTATGACATTTGATCAACAAGAGATTAGCATTTTAGGGACTGTTCACAGGTACAAGAAAAATCCTGCTCCATTTAAGAAAACAGTTCTTCTCAGTCAGCTCAAAAAACAGCTGAAGATGTAGAGTGTGTTTCAAACTACTTGACTTGTTTTTACTGCACCTTTCAGCAGTCCCAGCTGTTTCTGCTGGTTTAGAACTACTCCATGAACTTCCAAGTAGGCAAAACCCAGTAACTGAGTGTTTTATGGAACGCATCATGCCTAAATTGGTTTCTGTGGGATAAGCTTTTCTAGTAATTAGCTGTAGAGGAATAGGCTGCCCGGTCAAGGCACCAAAACCATTATTTAATGAAAATTTGGACACAAATGGACAACTTCCTCCTACACAGCATTAACCAGGGTGTAACAACTCACTTTCTTGCTCTTCTAGATGAATTGCTGGCCAGTGGAGAAGCAGAAACCTTTGACTTTGCTTTCATTGATGCAGATAAAGAAAGCTACAATGAGTACTATGAAAAATGTTTGCGCCTCATAAAGAAAGGAGGAATAATAGCTATTGATAATGTAAGTACTGCAGTTGTAGTAGCACAGGGAGTTACTGCTTTTGCCTCTGGGAAAGGGAAAAATAAAAGTCACAGCAGGGTTAGTAATGTGATTTCTGACCTGCAACTTGGCTGCCAATTGCAACATATTTGTCCCATGTTATACAAAGGAGGCTTTTCAAATTCAACATAAATTCCTAAAGTAAGCTATATGGAAGACTAATATAAGAAAGGAGTAAAACCCTATAGCAGAAGTAATGTGTTAAATTTCTGCTAGTACATAAACAGCCTGTCATAACAGAAACTTAACAATTTTTCATCATTTATTACAGAGAGTGCTCTGTATTATTCGGAGTTGTTTTGTAGTACTTTTTCTTCTATGTGCAGTGCTTATGCAAGATCAAAGGTAGCATCTGTGATCATTAATTACTAGTAAGTTATCATTTAGTAAACTTCACTAGAAACAAAGAATAATGTTAAAATTCAGGCACCTTCAGAGGTATGGCGGCAGCTGAATTGGGGCTTTTAAAAATACCTATGTTTAATCACATCTGTTTTTTTTAATTGTGTGTTCTAATTTGCAGTAAAAGTACTGTTAGCCAGTTCTGTGGACTCCCAATTCCACTCGCTTAGGAGAGCTCCATGTCAGAAACCACTAAAAAACCAAAATCCATAAAATAACATCAATTTCTAAAAAACATGCAGGACCTTTTCCAACACTTCTTTTGTGGTATGAAGAACATATGGGAACCAATTAAGTGCATGATAGTTCTCATTTCAATAGGTCCTTTGGAGTGGAAGAGTGCTAAAACCAAGAAAGGATGACTTGGCAACCCAGAGCATCCACCACCTCAATGAGAAGCTTCTCAGAGATGCACGAGTCAATATCAGCATGCTTCCAATGGGGGATGGAGTCACATTAGCATTCAAGTTGTAACCGGAGGAAGCCCAGCAGATAGGAAACAACAAGCAGCATCAAATCATTATGAAAAACACAGGTGAAGCAGTATCAAAAAATGGTTATTTAACCTATATCTCCACTGGATAGCATAGCCTGGTAGACTCTAGGAGCAGCAGGATCATAAGGGCAGCTAAGTTGAGAAGAGAGACTTATTTTGAGATCTACTATGGTTTATTGTTTTAATTGTAATAAAATAAACGTACACAAGTTTGTCCTTGTAAGAGAGCATTTGAAAAAAATCTTCCTCTGTAGAATGACTGAGTTCCAAGTGAAGCAATAGAACAAAGTATTTTTCTGTCCTAAAAGACACTACTGAGTAGCAGAATAATTAGTCCTACATCAACAGAAAAAGAAACACAGTTCACTAATGTTGAAAGCCATAATAGAAAGTGGATTTTTAGTGAAATGTACGTGATAAAGGAGATTTCTAGCCTTCTCAAACTAATTACATTGAAAGTCACTGGTAATCCTTGAATGATACTACATAAGAAGCCCCAAATATAAACCAAATCTTTGTGTGCAAGGACAGTGTTTCTTTAACACAGATAACAGCGCAGGTAGGTGGGTTGTTTTTTTTCAATCAGAATGAGGAATAGCAAATCACAGAATCTCATGGATTGGAAGGGACCTCGGAAGATCATCTAGTCCAACCCCCCTGCCAGAGCAGGGTCACCCAGAGCACATCACACAGGAACGTGTCCAGGCAGGTTTTGAATGTCTCCAATGAAGGGGACTCCATAGCCTTTCTGGGCAGCCCGTTCCAGTGCTCTGTCATTCTCACAGTAAATAAGTTTTTTCTGATGTTTATGAGGAACTTCCTATGTTCCAGTTGGCACCCACTGCCCCTTGTCCTGTCACTGAACATCACTGAAAAAAGCCTGGCTCCATTCTCCTGACTCTCGCCCTTAACATATTGGTAAACATTGATGAGGTTGCCCCTCAGTCTCCTCCAAGCTGAAGAGACTCAGCTCCCTCAGCCTTTCCTCATAAGGGAGATGTTCCACTCCCTTAATCATCTTTGTGGCTCTGTGCTGGACTCTTCCGAGCAGTTCCCTGTCCTTCTTGAACTGTGGGGCCCAAAACTGGACACAATATTCCAGATGGGGCCTCACCAAGGCTGCATAGAGGGGGAGGAGAACCTCTCTTGACCTACTAACTGCACCCTTTCTAATACACCCCAGGATGCCATTGGCCTTCTTGGCCACAAGGGCACATTGCTGGCTCATGGTCATCCTCCTGTCCATCAGGACCCCCAGGTCCCTTTCTCCTACCCTGCTCTCCAGCAGGTCAGCCCCCAACCTGTACTGGTACATGGTGTTGTTCTTCCCCAGATGCAAGACTCTACACTTGCCCTTGTTGAATTTCATCAAGTTTCTCCCTTTCCAACTCTCCAGCCTGTCCAGGTCTCACTGAATGGCAGCACAGCCTTCTGGTGTGTCAGCCACACCTCCCAGTTTAGTGTCATCAGCAAACTTGCTGAGGGCACACTCTGTTCCCTCATCCAGGTCATTGATGAAAATACTGAATAGTACTGGTCCCAGTACTGACCCCTGAGGGACTCCACTAGTCCAAATAGATTCTGTCTCATTGACCACAACGCTCTGACTTCTTCCTTTCAACCAGTTCATGATCCACCTCACTACCTGAGCATCAAAAGCACACTTCCTCTGTTTATCTACGAGGATGCTGTGGGAGAGAGTGTCAAATGCTTTACTTAAATCAAGATAAACCACATCTACTTGTTTCATCCTGATGCATTCTATAACATTTCTGATCACGAAACAGTAGCTGAAAACGTTCACCTTATGAGGACCAATGAAAGAGACTTAAGGGGGCAGAAAGCATATTTTATCTTAGCTAGAGAATAAGAATCCAGTTAATGGCTTATTTCCATGGTGAATTATAAATAGCAATAACTAATTTTTAGGGATCTCTATTTCAGCCTGAAATTTTTATTACAGAGAAAACCCAATTAAACAAGAAACCAAAACTAGCATTTTACAGACAAAAGCTCCGCTGGCTACTGTTTGGGGGGACTGGTACACTGAAAGGGTATAATATATGAAGGAAAAAGGTGACTTAGATTTGTTTGCCTTTTGTAGAGAAGTTGTATCAGAGCTAACGGAATGCTTCTTCCATTGGCTTAAATAATGTATTTGAATGACTCAAGGCACTGAGGGACCAAGATTTCAAGTTTCAAATTTTTAGAACTGGCTACTTAGCTCATATTTGAAGTGGGTGGCTTAGGTTCTGATAAGGGTTATATGTTCAGGGCACAAGTCTTGCCTGTCTCTGACACTAATGGTTCTATCCTGCAGTGGGAGAATGATGAAGAAAGGAAGCGTTGCCTGATGGTTTCTGAGTGGGGCTGGGAGTGAGGAGATCTTAATTCTATTTCTGTCTCTTCCACTTAAAACCTTGATTCAGCAGAGCATGTCAGGATGTGCTTAAGTACTTTGCTGAATTGAGGACTGGCTGCTGTAAAGTAAAATCCTTGCCTGGGAGAAGGCCAGGACAATGTGCGTCTGGCCCTTAAATGAGAATTTAAACAGGGCATAAAGCCTGCCCAATTTATTTTTCTGAGTACAGTTTTACCCTCAGAGCTTCAAAACTCTGTGTGCCTCAATTTTCTTATCTGCATAAAAGAAATAACATCTTACCAAAATCTTAATGACTATAATTGTTCTCAGATAGATTGGCTAAAAGAATAGACAAGATCATTATCCATTTACATACAAAGCTTCTGACCATGTTGTGCATTACAATTTTACTTTTCAAGTAGATAAAAAATTTTAAAGGTTACAAACACAAAATGGGACACTTTAACAGCTGAGACATCCTCTCAAATATGCTTGCTTTCAGAAGCTGATAATCACAAATGATTTACGAGCTGTTACGCATACATACCCTGGCCTAAAACTATCATTATAGCCTTTCCCAAACAGGCAGAAGTCACTAGAATATTGATCACAGACTCTATATCTGTTTTGCTACTTATTTCCAAGTTGCAAGGAGCCTCTCAGTAAAGCCAAACCAAAAATAGGCAAGCACCATAACTATTTTTACAAGAAACTGTCAAATAACTGTTTAGCAACATTAAAAACCAGATACAACCATAGCTCACAAACTCCAAAACTCCTGTTACTTGGATGCTGGGAACTGGCAAAGTCCCCATTGCCTATGCTAGAGGAAGGCCTCACTGAGTGCTGTGCATGAGCTAGGATTTTGCCTCTGCTTTGGACTCTGCTCCATTTTAAAATATGCAGAACATACTGTGAGCATTTAATCAAACCTGTCTCCATCCTGATCACGTAATTACCATTAGAAAGAATAGCAATGTGTCCCTAAACTATAGATTGATGAGCCATCTGTAAGCTGAAACAAAGAGCAGAAGGAAGCTTAATTGAATCAAATATTTAGAATACATTACACTCTATCTTGTAGTTACTCAGAAGCTGGCCTTCTCTTCAGGCTTCTGTCCTGCACGTCTGGAATTTATCACCACTAACTGCATTTAATCCTTCAACCTTACTATAAAGTGACTGCTGATAATATATAATTATGGTTTAATTCAAGTAGTGAATCAGCTTTAGGGACTTTGTGGGGACAATGGAAACTTAGGCTTTCATTACACAGTGTGAGTGGACACATGATAATAAAGTCGAAGTCTTTGTCTCTCTCTAATGGCAAGATCATGTATGGGAGCTTATAGGTCTGCTGACCCCTCCCACATAACACCTGCCTGTGCTACTGCTCATTCTGAAGTGGCTCAGAAGCTTCCACCCCTAAAGAGGAGCTGACCTGTGGGCACAGCTGTTGCCCAAACCCTAATACCCAGCTGTTCATGCAACACTGCAATCTCTTGGGTAAGGAACTGGGCAGATGGTCACACTCAAAGAGTGGTGATCAACAGCTCGACGTCCAGATGGAGACCTGTGACAAGTTTTGTTCCCCAAGGGTACATCTTTGTCAGTGACAAGGACAGTGACACTGAGTGCACCCTCAGCAAGCTTGCTGAAAGCACCAAACTGTGTAGTGAGGCCAATACAGTGGAGGGAAGGAATGAAATCCAGAGGGACCTTCATAGGCTTAAGAAATGGCCTCATGCAAACTGGATGAAGTTCAACCAGGACAAGTGAAAGGTCCTGCACCCAGATGGGGGCAATCCCAAACATAAACACAGGCTGAGTGGAGAACAGATCAAAAACAGTCCAGAGGAGAAGAACTTGGGGGTGATAGTGGATGAGAAGCTCAACAGAAGCCAGCAATGTGAGCTTGCAGCCCAGAAAGCCAACTGTGTCCTGGGCTGCATCAAAAGAAGCATGGCCAGTAAGGCCAGGGAGGTGATTTTCCCCCTCTACTCAGCTCTCATGAAACCCCACCTGGGGTACTGTGTCCAGTTCTGGAGCCCCCAATATAAGTTGGACATAGCGCTCACGGAGAAAGTCCAGAGAAGGGCCATGAAGATGATCCAAGAGCTGGAGCACCTCTCCTACTAGAACAGGCTGAGCAAGTTGGGGCTGTTCAGCTCGAAGAAGAGAAGGCTCTGGAGAGACCTTATAGCAGCCTTCCAGTATCTGAAGGGGGCCTACAGGAAAGCTGGAGAGGGGCTTTTTACAGGGGTATGGAGTGAGAGGACAAGAGGTAAGGGATCAAAACTGGAAGAGAGGAGATTTAGGTTAGACATTAGGAGTAAATTATTTAGTGTGCAGGTGGTGAGACACTGGAACAGGTTGCCCAGGGAAGTTGCAGAAACCCCATCCCTGGAAGCTTTCAAGGGCAGGCTGGATGGGGCTCTGAGCAACCTGATCTAGTAAGAGGTGTCCCTGCCCATGGCAGGGGGGTTGGAACTGGATGGTCTTTACAGTCCCTTCCAACTCAAACTATTCTATGATTCTGTGATTCTTCTAGTTGCAAGGGTTGACCCATGTGAGGTCAACACAAGTCACAAATGTACAGCTGGGACTTGGTCAGAA